CCCCAGCCATTAGCCTGGCACGAGGGGTGCGCACCAACTCGCCTGTCCCTGGCTGCTTTCGCCCCCCGGCCCTTTCCCACGGGCCCCTTTTGCTGCCCTCTGCCTGCAGCTGCCCCGTCGGGTCTCCGGCCCCGAGCTCTCGTTTGCCTTTGAAGAGAAGAGAAGCCCAGTGTAACCCCGGGGGTCCCCGGACGGCAGGGAGCCTGGCCCCAGCAGTGAGCCGAACACGGCAGCCATTAGCCTGGCACGAGGGGTGCGCACCAACTCGCCTGTCCCTGGCTGCTTTCGCCCCCCGGCCCTTTCCCACGGGCCCCTTTTGCTGCCCTCTGCCTGCCCGCGGCCACGTGCCGGGGGCCTTTCTCCACAGTCCCTGCGCAGGGGCTGTCAGGGAGGGATGTGCCTGCCCGGCACGGACCAACCAGGCCTCGTGCACCTGCAACTTTGGGCTGCCATTTCCCCCCCGCCCGGGGGCTCCCGCAAGCCCCAGCCGCTGCTGCAGCGTGCCCGAGACACTGCGGAAATAGCAAGTGTGTGGCTGGCGGCCGGCGGGAGGGGGAGGGTCTTAACGACCTTGCCAAGGTCACCGTTTGCCTCTCAGTGAGCGAGGGAGCTGCCGTCTCCTTCCCCCGGCGGCACAGAGCCGCTCTGCCCTGCCGCCTCCCTCCCCTCCTCGTCTGTCATCTGCAGTGGGACGTGGGTTTGTGCAGCCCGGACTCCCTCGGCCCCTCGGGGCCTGTCCTGCTTTCGCACAGGAGGCCTGGAGCCGGCGGGGGACGAGACGTCCCTTTGGCTCTGACTGCCGCTCTACTGCATGTGGGGCAGCTTCTTAACTGGGCCACGGCGTGTGGGGCTGCGCCAGGGACCCTGCCGTCTCTCCTCCGTGACTGCGAGAGCCTGGCAGGGCCCTGGAGGGCCAGGAGATCCCTCCCAGGGAGCACCTTGCTCTCCTCCGTGGCCCAGATATTTCACCTTCCTGTGATGGAGCGCCTGGTGAGCCCACGTCCGCCAGGGCCGGGTATTTACAGCGGCTAAGGAACCGGGCAGTGCGCCTCCCGGGTGGGATGAATGCCGTGGGGCGGCGCCCAGCTGGCAGGGCGCTGTTAGCTCCGCCAGGCTCTCGTTGGGCCCTGCATGGCTGTGGGCGGGTGGCTCCGTGGGGCTCCGTGGCAGGGCGCTGTTAGCTCCGCCAGGCTCTCGTTGGGCCCTGCATGGCTGTGGGCGGGTGGCTCCGTGGGGCTCCGGGCCCCCTCCCAAACATGTCGGCTTCTTCGGCGTGGCCCCGCCGCCCGGCG